CCCAAAGTATCCTGTACAGGTTGGAAATGTCTGTCACCCAGTATGAAATATCTTTCGCTCCCTTGAAGTCCTTGTACAATGGGGATGTTCACCGAAGGATTTGCAGTTTTGACATACTGCCGACCGCTGAGCCGCATACTTTCACTGCAGTTGCTTCGGTGGCTTGGGCGCGTGCTTCACATGCGTACTGAGCGTTTGCCTCATCGTGCACTCTTTGCGCGCACAGAAGTCGGCTGGAAGCCAAGACAAGATGGTCAGCGAAGGAGTCGGGCCAATAGTATGAAGGCGCTGAACTCACATTTGGACGCGGTCTGGCGTTGTCGAGTCCCTGGTTGGGGGCGCAAGGATCACAAGCACACGGCTGGAAACCCTGTCGGACATGTCAAGAGATCATGAGCAATAGCGAATCTGTTGTGACACCCTACCCCATAACTGCTATTCTACACTTTTCTATAATCCCTCCTATTCTTTCATTTTGGATGTATTTGTCCATATGTTGTGGCACTCTGCCATTTGTACCATTGCTCAAGCGTTTACTATATATATATATATATATATATATATATATATATCTTACACTTATACTTAAACTATATCTCTTTAAGCTGCATAAATTTCATTCCAGTTTATTTGGTTTGTTTTGCCTATCTGGATAGTCTTCTATTAGCTGGCCACGTTGTTTACGCTAATTGCGCTTATTTTTGGTAATTTTGTAGCGTTTTTGTGTAACTTGTGGACATTCTTTTTCCTTATCGCGGATTCATTGCTAATCAAATTACTCCATATGCTAATTTATCGAAGAGTTATGCCACCGCATCTGTATGCATTATTGGATTTATTTTATTTCATTTTGTCGCTTCAAGTGATTGGCTGTTGCTTGATAGCCCCGATGTGGCTGCGTTTGATGTACATGTTGACAAGGTGCCTACCTGTCTATTACCAACTACCTCGTCCATACTGGCTCCAGGAGACAGTTGGTCGTTGCTGGAGGGGACGGGGTGCACGGTCCTTGTGGCCGTGCTAGGCTCGAAGAGTGGTTCCACGCACTCAGTGTGGAGCGGACTACGGTCCAGCCACCGTTTTGTGTGCGCTTGATACCCAAATGCAGTGTGCTTATGTTTGCCTGTGAAGTAGTGTGGGCTGGCTCCGTTGATGAAACGTGGCTCCCATCCACATGCCTCCCGGTCTTATTCCTTCGGGTTTACACTGGATATGTGGTGTGTGGTTGGAGCTGTGGGTGGTGCAGCGCAAGCCACCCATGGTCCCTCTGTAGGCGCAGGCGTCCTGTGGCTGGTCAGACTGACAGGCAAACCTGAAACCGGATGCCGCCAACCATATATATATATATATATGTATATATATATATAGAAAGGCTGGTGTTGCATTCATAATGCTTCTTCATCATTGTTGAGTTAAACCAATTTGCACTTAAACTAGGTCTTTTCTAAGCTGGATAATTTTCATTCCACTTTAATTGCTTTGGCCTGACTACCTGTATTATCTTCTATTAACTTTTACACGTTGCATACGCTGATTACGCCTATTTTCGTTAACTTTATTGCGGTTGTAGCAGCTTTTGAGTAACTTGTGGACATTTTGTGTTTGTCTTCTATTTGTTGATGATCAACTTACTTTATCTGCTATTGAATGGAAAAGTATGTCTGTATTGCTGTTTGCATTAAGAGATATACATATTAGCTGACGTTATTTCAAGTGTTTGGCTGTTGCTTGATATCCCTAGTATAACTGCGCGTTATGTGCATGTTGACATGGTGTCTACCTCTCTATTATTCACTACCTCGTCCATACTGGCCGCAGGAGACAGTTGGTCCTTGCTGGAGGGGACGTGATGCATGGTCCTTGTGGCTGTGTCATGATCAAGATTGGTTCCATGCACTTAGTGTAGAGTGGACCACGGTCAAACCATTGCCTTGCGTGCAGTTTATTCCAGAAATACAGCGTGCTTGTGTTTGCCTGTGTAGGAGTGTGGGCCGGCTCCGTTGATGAAACGTGGCTCCCATCCACGTGCCTCGCGGTCTTATTCTTTCTGGTTTACACCGAATTTCCTGTGTGTGGTTTGAGCTGTGGGTAGTGCAGCGCAAGCCAACCATAGTCCCACTATAGGCGCAGGCTTCCTGTGGCTGTCCGTTTGGTGGCCACGGTGACAGACAAATCCGAAACCGGATGTCGTCAACCGTATATCGCCTTCATGCTTAAAGCATTTTAATTAGATAGGGTTTTGTTTCTAATCGCTGCTTGACCGTATTGTTAGTTTACGTTGTACATTGTAACTTCTCTTTCATGAAGGTACTTTGTGTCTAGGATTAAGATTCTTTAATTGCAAACCTTTAGACCACAGCCTGGTCTCTCAGCATATTTAGAAGTACTATGAAACAAAAGCAAGCTTAAGTTATTTTTAGACAGTAAATTTACCTTGTTCACAAGATCGAATAAGTTTCCGTAGCCACGGAGCAAAATAAAATGGTCAACAGCATCTTGATTGTTGTGAGAAAACAAGCATAGAGGCTTGTATTCTTAAGTATGCATGTTGTTAGATTTAACACATCTGCTATTAATGTATGCAGATGCGTGTAATTATGTCCACCAACCGTAATAGTAGGTGGCATATGGATTAGTAGCAGTTGTGACAAGCATAACAACCATTTGAAGTCTACTGCTGACGCTAAGGATAAGTACTGTTACGCACTATGATGTCGAGCAAAGTAAATTAACATTCATCTTCCAAAGAACGTTTATGGTAGTTTGTATACGGTGCAAAGGAGTTTATCAGCTGAACAACCTGTACGCCTCTGACCATCCAAAAATTACAGCGTACGATGTTAATTCCCTCAAAAGACTTTCTGGCGTCGTTTATATTCCTGAAGTTAATGCACTTTTCATATTCGCCTACACTATCTGTGCCCAGCCATACTCCATCCAAAAGTCATCAAAACGCGCTAGAGGGCATATAACGCCATGCATTATACGTTTAAGTTGAACAATTTACATCCAATATTGAGCTTACAAGGACGACTGGAAGCATGAAAATCAGTCGCGCAAACACAGTCTGTTAATCATTCAGACTGAGCTGAATACTTTTCGTCTAGTCCGAAGCTGCTCTAGCTACCCGGGTGGTGAACGCTTGGTACAGCTTATCGGAGAACCTAGCTGATGCACAGGCAAAGTAACGTTCCAAGCGTATGCTATATTGCCACCTGATAAGTACCGCGGGCTATGGCTGCTCCTAGTGCAAAGACGACGATCTCCAGAAGCGCGTCGACTCTCAAACACATGCATTAACCACGCAATGTACCCTAAGTAATGGTGCTGACAAAGGTCTCCCCGCTTGCTCTCTAAAATCCAACGCCCCAATGAGTATAGTGCAAAAAGGTATAGCATATGCTATACACATTAGTGTCAACAATGCAGCGTTGTGTTTGAACAGAGTGCACTAGTACTATTTTTGTCCATGCATCTTCAAGTCCACAAAAATACGTCAAAATCAGTCGGTTGGCATTAGATATGTGCCAGCCTGCATGACTTATTTGCAATAATGCAATTATGTTTAAAAACTGGTTGTAAGCAAGAAAACTAGCAAAATAGGCAGATTTTGCGGACCCGCGAGATTTACCTAGGCTTGTACTTATGCGCACGGGTTTTATAATGTCGAGTATCTGAAGCTGGAATGTGCTACCGGAGGACATCTATTGTCACACACGGTGACAGCTTAAAGGCTGCTTTGACGCCCGGAACTTGCAGCTCCCAATATTCCGTTTTCTCTTTAATTATTATTACGATTGCTGTTCAGATCCTTTCCTTCTTAATTACTCTTACTAAGTCTATCTACAACGTTTGTATCTCTCCCAGTTTATGTCTAGACCACATTGTTACTTTGCTGTTGCTTATTTATGTGGCCAGCTTCTGGCAGCACAATCGCAACAGCAATCGTAGGCTTCTGAATGGAAGTAGGACGACAGTCCTGTTTGTTAATAAAAGGTTATCCTTACTAAGTAACAATTAGTTTACATATTTACGAAAAATAACTAGTTGGTGTGTATGAACAACGCAATGTAACTGATACATTATTCCGGTGGTGGAGGTCGTCTAACTGAAGAATTAGACAAAGTTAAGTTAAGCGAAGCTTGGTTTTGTGTACTGATCCAATACCACTAATGCTGACGCCCTTTCGTCTATTGCTAGTTATATCTATCTCATTGAGACACGCGTCACAGTTAACGCGATATTTATGTGTAAAGGCGCTAGAAAAATTTTTCCAAAAGAAAAATCTAAACCAAAATCTTAAGGGTATGTTACGTGTTGGTAGATACGGACCATAATACAGCATTCTGAATGACCACAGAAAAAGCATTTTGATTTGTGAACCTAAAACTGGAAAAAGTCATGTTTTTGCATTCTCACGAGGCACGTTCCTGTCCTACTAAGCCACAGATATTAAGCTGTGTAAGGGAAGCGTCTATGTTGCAGATCGCAAAATTAGCGACAGGGGAACTACTGTTGGCGCAGAGTCAGGCTAGCCAAGTATAGAACCCGTACAGAATGGCCCACAGAACGGTGGCATACGCTCATCAGAATTGCCCTGGACAAAATCAGGATTTTGCTTTCCTATGAGCCACGTTCCTGTCCAGTCAAGAACATGAGTTTTAGTAGGCCACTCAGGACAGAAAGTGGACGTGTGCCACCAGGGGGCAGCGGGATCTAATAGCGCAGTGTGCTTGGGTCATGATTAGTTGACCACGACGTGTTCTACACGTGCTGATTTGACTCATACAATTAGGCAATCGTATACCGAACTCGAGTGTGGAGCAACGACGCATCCAGGATGGAAGGACCATGGGGATATCATTCTGTTCCTACCCCATTTGAGTTTGTGAAAAGTTATTTACCACGGTTAATTCAAGACGAGGTGCATATAGAGCTACGTCTAGTTATACAGCTGAAATATCAGGTAAGCAATAATAACATCCATGGTGTAAACTCACGCTAAAAAATGAAACATGACCTTCTGAAAGTAGATCAAAAAATGTCATATTTAGTTCCTGAGTTATCGCGTAAAGGTCATGGAATGGAAGGAATAAACAACAACGTTTCGTTTTGATGTATAAAGGAAAACGGTTCTTCACCGTAGCAACTATGTTTGTCAAAGAATCATTACTTATTTATTGAAACAGCTGATGGTGTTAGGGATAAACTGAAACTTGGCGATGAACGGGTTTATCTTTATGCGGTAATTTGATTTCCAGGTGTACCATACTAGGTGGCGCACATCACATGGAAAAGCAATAAGGCATTTTACTGCAAGCGTGCCTTAAAATAGTCTTGTAGCAGAAAAATAGTGTAAGGATTTTGTAGATACCCAAAAATACTTAAAATCAATTAATTAATTAGTGGAAAGAGGCAAGTACTATAATGAATGGAGCAAAGTTAAAATAAAGCTATGAATAAGGTAAACACAAAATTTGAAATTACATTTTACTAAGGATCTCTTACCGTCTACGGGAGAAACTTTTGATGCAAGCATTTTTACATTAGTATGTATGCCCCTTGCGGCGGTCCTAAAAGACAAACGCCGTACCCGACCACAACTAAATAGCGGCGAATCATGGTTTCATGCGCTTTGGCAGCGACATCGTGTATGATTAAACAAGGATTTCACGTTAGTTTTTGGCGAATTCCTTTTCAGTATTAAGGTACCTGGATTGTGAAGCCAAGTAGACCGGAATGACAGGATGCCATCAGTGTTTTGTAGCTTTGGAAATAGTCACCACACGCTTAAAATCGTTTGATTAATGAGTTGCGATAATTGGATGCGTACTGAATTCTGCATTATCAGTGGCGACTTAGGGAATTCTTCCTTGGTTGTTTTCATTTGTGACACTGCCAAGGCGCCAAGAAGGATAACCGCCTCATTGTATTTTCAACCCTATTCAGACGTGTTACCCAAGTGTTAAAAATGGCCTGGCCGCCTCACCTTACCCACTGTACCCAGCCCCGTAATTGCTTACATCCGACGGAATCGAGAATGCTACGCTACTATGTCGGAGACACCGATATACACGGAATGCAACATGCAGTCTATGAAAAAACCTGGTGCTGCCGCCGGGCGGCAATGCATATGGCGCCAAGTGCTAACCTAGATACAACCCTGCGCCATGGATAATTAAGGAAGTGGTTAAATCCTAGGTTTGCATGCTTTCCTACACCTACAATAGAAACTCATTTTGAGTAGAATGAGTCCGTATGTGAAGCTGGTAGTCTCCTCGCCTCAAAGCTAGAAGTCTACTATTACGGAGGGAAAGGACCTTTGTCGAAATCCGTAGGCTTTGTGTCTATGCTTACGAATATAGCAAGCTAACATAATTAAAGCAACTATCAAACTATTAGGCAATTCTAAAATGCATGCTCTTTACACTTGTGCATAATGGATAACATGAAACAAAGTTTTTACACCACTCAAATCACCAGAGATCAAGATCACGACTCCAAGTTTCTTTCGACGAAAATATGCTCCCAGCCGAGGCCAGATTTTGCTGCCTAACGCAACAGTATTAGTGGCTAACGCAAGAAAAATTTTCTTTTGAGGAACCTCCGCCCCACATGTCCTGTTAAAATGGACGCAGCCGGTTACCTTAGAATTCGACGGGCACCTGGGAAAAATGGCATCACATCGCGAAAGCTTAAGTTTTGCAAAAGGTTTCTAAGAGCTTGAAGGTCCCTGATGTTTGTCACATCCAGCTCGTCATATCACAACTAGCACGGACTGGAAGTTATAAAGAAATAAATACTTATATGTTCGATGAAACGGGACATGCCAGTTCAGGCATGAGCAAGCTTTTGACAGAGATATAGAAACACTAGGAGCATATGTACATCGACCGACAGAGCTAGGTGTTGGCGAAATACATGGCTTAATGGATTGTACATACTTTTGCCTAGGAATGCTGCAAGGATAAAGGCGGGCTCATTAATGTCAGGGAGAAAGGTGGCTACGAAGCACGTTAAGATCTCAAAGGGTTGCTGTTACTGACATGCTGGATGAAGGTTCGAGTGGTTTCGGAGCGTGATATCCCTTTTTCCGTGGGAGTAGAAATACCATCGTAGGTTTGACAAACACACTGTGCTCACGAATGTCGGAGGCTGCGATCAGTTTCTGTGTGAAGTAGTGGGGAGTTACTTTATTTCGCTGGTGTATCACATCCACTATGTCGCAGTGCTGTTAAACAGACATAGGTGGCTTTTGATACGGAGAACGCCTGCCAGGCGAAAACCCACCACGCCTTATGACACTGCCATTGACCGTCAATTAAATAGGATTGAACTATTAGCAACGCCGCTGTAAGACCGATATTCCGATATGATAAGCTTCATCATGGTACATCCGATTTTGCTTTGGCTCAGCGAGAAGCTTAGTCAGGATTCACCAGCAACGGCTGAGTCGGGTGATACTACTCGGAGATAGAACTATGGAGAGTGGGATTCAGTACTGCTCTTGTGCGCGAAGATCGCAAATGATATGCGTTACCAGTGTACGAGAAGTTAACCCAAACGCCAGGTGGGTGTCGCAGCTTTGTCTTAGAGTGATAACCATCACATATAAGCGGGCGCTTGCATGAAGCTAAAGTGTCTTGAGAGCCTGTTGCAAAATTAAAAGGAATTTGGATCTAATTGTTTAAGTCGGTATAGCACATCGATCGAGGAGTGGTTGTGGTCCCCGGAGCCATGTTTTGGCGAGCTCAGTAGTACGTACTACAGGCAGCAAACATCCGAATGATCTAAAACCTTCTGGATACAACCCTGGCGAGGTGAGTGCGTGAGTACGCTTCCACTGGCGAAGTGGATGGACCATAACGCAAGGAGTTGTAATCAAGTTGAACAGTTGCAGGAGGGCGAAACTATTTTGCGGCGATGTTAAGAAGGTGAGGATAGCTGAAACCCGATTGTTTAAACCAGGTGAGTGTAAAGTGTAAGGGCTTTCCAGTGTACAGATATGGCCGAACGCAACAGAAGAGGCCATAATGGGTAAATAACTGGGGAAAAGGGTTGATGCCAGACCACACTGGTGATGTGGCTAAACGGTCCGTCGGATACTGAAGACAATCAGCTTAAGCTTCTGGTACTAGAAGAAAAATCCACCAGCAAAGTGGACGGAGTATAACGCCAATTCACCTCAAGTAAGTTGATCACTTGCAGAAAGAGGAAGCATTAGATGATACGGGGCATAGGCTTCCAAAATGATAATACTCCAGAGGAATAGGAGAGAAGCTAGGTGTCAGTATCCACCGAATAATGACACCAAACATGTAAAGGATCTGCTAGTAGAAATAATCCACTGGCGAGGTGGACTATGCATAAAGCCATAGCATCGCAAGTAAGTCATACACTTGCAGAGCTTTGTAGCTTTAGTTGAAGTGATGTTCCGGAGGTGAAACTGATATAAATGCAATCATTTACATCACTAAAATATATAAAGCAAGCGGACAGAACGCCCGAGGTGGTGGTAAGAGCTGTCCACATATCTGGACCTATGAAGATTAACTTCAGGAACTTTACCTAGTTACGACAAACCAGGTAAGTTTATGCAACACTTATATGCAGGTCTCTCGGGAGGCCGAGGAACAAAAAAGCAGAGAAAGGAAGGATTCCTTACCTAAGGAAGGGAGTAATGGGAGTTGGCGACCACCAGCCTTACCAAACCTATACGAAACTTTGTCGTGTATAGTAGTGCATTTCAGACATTGCCCACCCCGTCATCTGATATTACCATGGCGCACTCTACCGTCCACTTTGTCAATGCTTTGTTCCAACCAAATGCTATCACGTTGCCCATAGCAACACTGATCCACTTCCCGAAACCTGCAACTAAAGCTGAATCTAACTCACCTGACTGTTGTCAATCGCCTGGACGGCCCAACGGGTTCCAGTCGCCTGGCGTTGCTCTAAAATTGTATACAAGATCCAACTCGTCAGTGGAAAACAAACGGAAGCTTACTGTCCATCGTCTCTAGAAGCCATCCCATAACATTTTACTATCCAGTAAAATTGGTAGTGGACAATCCCGCTACCGCCTGTGGTGTGCAACTTAACGAGAAAATCTCGTAGTAAGTGGATCGCAGGACTGCAGCGAAGCAAACGATAAGTCCTTATTTTCGTATTTAAAGTATTAACTATTTTACTATCCTCTTCATCATAATTGTTATGTTGATATCTCCACCAACTATCCAACGGGGCTTGTAAAGCAACGCTTCTTAACCCGTATAAATTCATTGTTCATTGTTCATTAGATCGAAACAGCGCGTTTGGAAACCGATAGAAAGAGTAAAAGTATGACGAATTAAATAATTTGTGCAATGTTTGGTTTAATTGACGAATTTTTCGTTCAGTATATATGGGAGGGCGCTATGTTGATCCGCCATACCTGCCAGCGCTATAGAAGCCACTTGTTTCACGTTTGCAATGGGATCAGGTGCAATGGATTCGGTTGAACCTTACGGTTGCCGTAGCTCAAGGTAAACAACACAACGTATGGTGAAGAATTATCAGTTATTTAAACAGATAATGAAGATGGGATATGAAACAATCGATGTGTTCAGGGAAGACGTCTCGGCTTGTCAACGCTAATCCTGCACGTCATCTTAAGTGTACAATTCTGAACCTACCGGGCGATGCCGCAGAGACGGTTGTATCGTGCTACCGAAAGGGGTGGCATATTCGTACGAGAAATATATAGGTGTGCCTGCCTGACGGAAACGATGTGAAGGCCGCCGGTAAGTAAGTTCATTTATCCTGCTAAAACTGTCCATTTAGTCACAGAGACCGCACCTGTGCGGCTCATGTCACGTATCCGTTTGTCGAGGGTTCGTATAAGGTAACAGATTACCCTATCATGCATAGTCGTGCTCTCCAAGTGGGAAAAATATGGTTATACGTGTGTGACTGCAGGCGTTCACAGGAGGATGTTGAACAAGTTTTTTGTACGCATGCAGTGTCTTATGAGTGCGC